ACCAGAAGCTGGAGAAGTCTGCATGGGATCGAGCCATCGACACAGCTCTGTCGCACAGCTTGCAACAACTCCAAGGTACGGAGGGTGCCGACAATGGAGAAGCCGACAACTTGACCCGCGAAGCTGAGCTGATCAAGGCCAATTTCAATCGCGAGGCCTACCGGGAAGTCCTTGAGCAAGACAAGGCTGGTGATGCTGCTATGATCCAGATGCTTCTCACTGCGCAGTTCGACATTCTCGCATCACTTTCCGATACGCTCGGCATGGATGAGGAAGATGCCGTCGCTCACGCGAAGGAGATGATTAATCGTCTCCTCCAAACCGGCTTCACAGCTGCCGGTCAGGTCGTCAAGCCTGATGGCTCCATGCCCGTCGTCGAAGTCTTCTCGCCCAGCAAGCGAGGCACACCCAAACGCAAGAAGGCCATTGCGATGCACATCAAGCCTGTTTCAGCTCCCAACTTTATGCCGGCGCATAGCGACCACGCTCCTGTCAGCCCCATGAAGGGATCCCCACGAAGACGTAAGGTGTTGGGAGCCTCCAAGAAGGGCGTCAGCTTCACGCCAGTGAAGGCTAAGAAGAAGGGCGGAGTCCGTTGGAGGGACGATGAGACGGAGGAGGGCACATTGGAGGACTTTTCGAAGACACCCCAGAAGTACAACTCTTCCCCTGCGATTCCCTCGCCTGAGAAGCCAATTGTCGCACCTATTATGCCTTCATACCTGGAGCCCGAGACATCGACTGTCGAGGAGTCGAGCCCAAGTCTCGAGATCCCGGAGGCCAGCAGCTTGGGTGCGAAGCCTAGCAGGTTCCAGGCCGGTTTCCTTTCTAAGGGACCTAGACATTCCCTTGCTGATGGATCACCCAAAGCACCCACCATGACACTCAAGCTCGAAGCTTCACCCGATATTCAACGAACACCACCCCTGCGATCGCTAGATGTCACTAAGAGTGGCAATTTCTCACCATCGCCATCGGGGTTCGGTATTCCTAGAGCGATTAGACGACTCCCCACGATACATGATGAGAACAATCCTCCCGGATCTGGATCTGATTCCGAGACGAGCACTATCGATGCTCGAAAGCTTCAGACCGCCCTCCGAACCGCCATGAAGGAAAAGGCTCGTAGAGCGAGCATCATGGCCGGTACCACAGCATCCAGCACCAAGCGAGTATCGTCAATGGGATCGTTGCCCGAGCGAACGGGACCCAGGCCTAGTCTGCCTGCGGCCCTCGCCAGCAGCACCAACGGTATCTCCCGACTCCGCCGAGGTAGTGCTGAGAGGAGACGAAGCCCCCCGATGGCGTGCTCGCCAAACGACTTCAAGATAGACATGGCTCTGACACCTGGTCAAGCTAGACGCATGAACATGAACAGCACAGTCACTCGAATGGAAGGCCCTGGATCAAGCCCTCAGGGTGGCATGGCGGGCAGTGCGCCGCGACGAATTACCATTGGCATGGGAAGCGGCGCTGCTCATCGCCGACAGGACAGCAGAGGCTATACCTTGCGATGAGCGAAAGATTGATATGAGGAGGGTGAAACGTATGTGCACAGATTGAGATTGAGATTGAGATTGCCTTGATGGCCTTGGATGGGTGCGTGCTTGATTGTTTATGAGCCCGGAGTTACGGCTACGGCGTTTGGGGCATTGCATGATCTATGTAGATTGGTATGATATGGCATTCTTAGTGTATCAACACAACTTGAACATTGCTCTTTCGTCATCGCGTGAAGCTATCGCCGAAAGTCTTGCATCAACAGCCCCGAGTGATGCAATTGGTGTATTGGGATGGGCTGCTTACTCTCTTACGAAAAAGCGATTAAGCATAAGCCATAGCGCCACACCGGATGGTGGGGTTGGGTTTTTAGTGGTTGGATGCGCTGTTAACGCCGAAATGTGGCGACGTTAGCAATCGGCGATAGTTGGGAGATGGCAGTCGGTGATAGAATGATGGTGTTGAGGACTTTGGGTCGGAGATAATGTCATCAAATGAATTGAAGAGATATTTGAGGCTGAAAAAGTATATAAAGGAGTTGGATCTTCGTTTGAGGATGGATTCGGCATCAATCTCACTTGTCTTACAAGCCTCATTACAAGCCATTCGCACTCACACTAAAGCCACTTACACAAACAATCTCACAACCTCAACATGTCTTCCCCCGTCTGGTTCATCACAGCTGCTTCCTCAGGCTTCGGCCATGACATCGCTCTTCACGCCCTCAACCTCGGGCACACCGTCATCGCCACAGCAAGGAGTACATCACGCGTCCAAGACCTCGCCGACGCAGGTGCACACACACTCGCATTCGACGTGACTTCTCCCCTCTCGGACCTCGAAGCCATCGCCAAAGAAGTTTTTTCCAAGCATGGCCGCGTCGACTATCTCATCAACGCAGCGGGATACATCCTCGACGGCGCCGTAGAGGAAGTCTCCCAGCAGGAGCTGTATGATAGCTTCAACACCAATGTTTTTGGAATCTTCAACACCATCAAAGCTTTTCTACCGGGAATGCGAGAGCAGAGTATCGGTCAGAATGGAAAACGCGGTACGATTGCGACTTTTGGAAGTATCGGTTCTTGGAGAGGTGGAGCAACATACTCTGTCTACTCTATGGTGAAGACCTGCGTGTCCTCCCTCGCTGAGTCTCTCCGCTACGAGCTCGAGCCCTTCAACATTGTCGCCACAGTTGTTGAACCTGGTTACTTCCGCACTAGCTTCTTGAACCCTGGTGTGAGGGCCGTTACGAAGAAGAGAATGGATATTTATGAAGATGAGAACACGCCTACGGGAAAGACGAGAAAGGCGTTGGAGAAGACGGACAACAACCAGCCTGGTGATGTTAAGAAGGGTACCAAGGTTATTGTTGAGATTCTGACGGGAACGGGGGTTGGAGAGGGAAGGGATGTTCCGGTTCGGATTGTGTTGGGGAGTGATGCGGATGTTTATATTAGGGATAAGTGTGAGGAGACCTTGGAGTTGCTGAATGAGTGGAAGGACGTTACTGTCAGTACTGACCATGAGAAGTAAGGATGAGGATGAAAAACATGCTTCCTTAGGTAAACTTAGGATAATATTGATGATCTTTAGAGTATCTACTCACATTTAGGCCCTAAGTTTAGGGTCAGAAGCCTTCTTGCTAAGCCACTGCATTCGGTGTTAGTATATTGCATATCTCCGAGGCGGAGACAGATGACTTCAGACTCAAGTCTGAAGTAATCAAAGAAGTGGATAGTATTATCGTAATTTAGAACAGTTTAGGATAAGCTTACCCAAGGTTTTGGCACTTCTTTATCTCGACTTTTGGGGCCGGGCAGAATTCCTCCGATGCCTTCGGGCTTTCTCACGCTCAGCAGAAGCTTGCTGCATCTCATTCAGCGCCTCATAACGCAGTTTCATGGTATCTCTCAGCCAGCCAATGCAGGTGCCGGTTAACCGCATGTCCTTGAAGCTAGGATCCATGATGCTATGCTGGAGCTCAGTTGCGATGCCGCGCTGCTCCATGTGACGGAACCAGGCGGAGTTATCGTCTTCCCAGATATCATAATTCATGGGACTCCCAGTATGACTCATCACCCAGTCGATGAAAGAGACCTCAGGAATGGTCTCACCACTAAGGTCAATCTCGCGTTTGATGGGACCAGATGGCTTGGCATCCCAACCACTCCAGATCTCAGTCGCTTTGTCGCTGCTGAAACCGACATACTCAATAGTCGCTTTCGAAATGAGCTTCTCCGGGATAGTCGCAAATGCGTCAGGGTAGGATTCGATATTGGCGTTGAGAGGAATATGCTTGTTTTCCTCATCACTTGAGCGATTCAGACGCCGTTTGTCAACCTGTATAGAACCATTCGGGGGAGTGGGAGGATTCACAAGGCCAAGGTTGGTAACTCGTGCTGTATCTCCAGGCGCGAGGATCTCCCCGAGGGAGCTGTTGCATTTGCGGGTCATGGCCTGATTCGTTAGGAAGGACTGACAATATTGAGGGACAAGGTTCCAGAGGTCGGGGAAGGCTGCCTTATATATGAAAGATGAAGTGGACCACTTGAGTAACCTCATTCGGTCAACATCTAAGTTGAGGTGAGCAATAACATTAGTGTATGAGAAGAGACTTTTTGAGCCTCTCCCATAGGCGTATTTGTTGTGGAAACCTGTGGCTGAGAGCCTATGACTACTACAGAAAACCTAACCAGACATTATCGTCGTCATATGATATTGGTCTCTAAGACGTGCTACTACTTGCCGGCGTCTACATTGCGTATGGTGACTGTAATTCTCAGCCACTGATCTCTTGCACAACATCTGAAGCTTGCCATCGTCACATGAAATGGTAAGGATTGGATATTTACCTTGTCTTGCCACCAACTCGTTAAAATTTGTGTGATATCGGGAAAGCCTCACTTCTAAAAGTGTCTTTGGGACCAGGGTCCTGGCTTCTAAGGTAGATCCAGACCGATGGAAATTGGTTCTGATCCATTCAAAGTCTACCAGAGCGAATCGTCTGTGTATTCACGACGATTTTTACTTGATAAAGGTTGCAATGGTACGTCAGGAACTCTAAGCAATTTCTTTACAGTTCTTCCCAGTCTCTCAGTAAAGTCGCGTGGCTACAGTCATCCGGCAGCACGCCACCTAAGGTAAAAGTCTGATGAGTCCTTGTGATCAACACCACAAACGTTATCAGCACGCCACATTGTGAGTCTTGGCAGATCTCCAAAAGCCTTGTGTCGTCTTGCAGCTTTAATGTGGACTTGACGGGATATTTGCATCTGAGACCTGTGGCTGTGAGCTTACATTATCATACAGAACTTGGTAATGTGCGACATAAACGTTAGCCAATGCTTGTTGGTCGGATGTTTCAGGAGAGCCCTTTCTGCTTTGCGAGATCTCGACCAATCGGAATGAAGATGAGGAGTTGAGGATATTGTTTCACTCCTACTGGGGTCTGAGTGTATTTGAAATAGAATAAATATCGCTATCTGCTTTGTATTGCCTATTCAAACTTTGACACGAGCGTTCTGCTTTGTAGGTCTTCCTCGCTTTCCTTTCCGACAGCCCTCGAAATGATGGCGATGTTCGGCAAGATCGCAAGTAGAACGACCACAAGTACATATGTAGGACCTTTCACCACTACAGTTCTCTTTGAGGAGATGATTTCGGTAAACATCCTTCCGCCCATTAGAATACCCACATCGACAGACATAAAAGGCACCGGAATGTTTGCTATCCAGATGTCGCTTTAAATCCCTTTCGTACTTGAAGGGATTGATGGAGCATTTTATGCAACGGAAAGATCCTCGCTCAGGATCGATCGTGGGTTTGTGATGACTATTGGAGTGCAGAATGTTCGTATCCTCACAGACTTGAGCCATGCCTTGCAACTTGGAACTTTCCGCAGAAAGGATACAAGGTGAAGAAGAAGGAGAAGAAGAAGAAAAGAAAATAGATAAGGGGCTATCATCAGGCCAAGCTGGGTGCGGAGAGATTGAATAGCTCGGTGGTAAGCATGGCGATAATTCTAAATGTTGCCGGTGGGGGGGTGTCTCATATACCGCTGCATTGCGGGACCTTTGATGAGGAAAGAATGGGTTGAGCTTGGATAGAAACGCACTGTCCGGATTTCGGGGACCGACTACTTCTAGTGGCTCGTTGTAAGGTAGATCTGAGTCGCGGTATGATTCTTGAAGGATGTTGGAATGAATGTAATGCAAAGACGAAATGCCACCTAGCCCGTGGAGGTCTTTCGTCTGCGAGAAAGCACAGCAAGGTGGCGGCGAGTCGGCATGAGGCTCCCGACGGGGGCTGACAAACAGACCCGGGTCCGAGAAAAGACGAGGATTTAACCATATCTCATCAACTTCAATACCGGCAAAGAAATCTTGCGTGTGCTCTTGGTGCAGTAAGTTGGAGCTGCAACTCAACCCGCGTCAAGTTTGGAAGAAGGCATAGTCGCGACGATAACGACACTCAGCACTTCAGTTGCGGAAGTACTCGATTTCTTGGGATTCCTCTTGCAAACAGAATGTAACCTCCTTCCTCAGAATAGAGGTTGGAGTATGTGTTGATGATATGAGGTGGAGGGTGGGCGATTGTCTGAGAATCACAATTGCTTTTGTGGCGACGAGCCGGGGATTCTTATGCTGGATTCAGGAGCTGGGACAGGGGAGATGTATCGAACTTTCAGTACACCACCAGCGACATATAGCCATTCCCTGATTTGCTGGTCACACATCTAGGATTCGTCTGACCGGCTGCAGCTTGAAAAGCCGGATGGAGGCCATTTATTTGATTGGCGCAACGTGAAAAGCAGGCCGTGCATTAATTACCATGGCCAAGACCTGAGCACTTTTCGTGCAGATCCAATCAGATAAATGGCCCTTGGTCATCCGTGACAGAGGTTATGAGTCTAAAAGAATATCGGGATATCAGATTAGACAGTGTTGTGCTTGTAAGAGGGGTTTCCTGTCAGCGCCACTCAGCATATAGCAGGCTTACAGCCCGCCTCACTTTCAACCTGTTACGGCGGAAATCAACTCAGTCGCAAATGTTAATCTCACGGAAGTGATGGAGGTGAGATAATAAGCTTCGTTGATGGTTCAGGCTGACCTTACCTGCAATACCAACAGACTGCCACTGGCACAGCACGCCATGCACTACAGTTGCCTGACGAAGCCCTTGACAGTACAGTTGTTAATCTGGACCTGATCGGCCAAGACATGGACGAACTTCCCATAAGGATTGGAGAATTGATAAGAAGAGAAAGACATGCCGACGTTTATTCGATCTATAGGAGATATCGCACCAGAGACATGACAACAGAAGCACGGGCTTTCATTATCGACGGTGTTTCTGGAAAACTGAAACGGCACCGGAAACGATGCATACAACGCCTAGGACCCCGAACGCTATTTAATGTGTCATGCCGCGGAGTAGAAGTTATCGTTTATACAGTCAACTGCAATGACTGGCTTGTCACCACTGGGGAAGAAGAGAGGGACTCGAATGAAACACGCCCGAGAGTACTAGGTAGGTCTGAGGGTAAGGAAAATAGTGACCCAAAAAAAGACACTAACTGAGAAACAGTTCCGATGAGAAAGACAAGCTATAAACAGGAGGCAGCACGGATGCGACAGCGGGAACGACGCCGAGAGAAAGCGGACCAAGAAAATTCCTCAAGTTCTCAAGATGCGGAGCTCATCACGGATGATTCATCACTGAGCGAAGACGTCGCGGATACCTTCAGAGCCGCCATCATGTTGTATATTTTCTTTGACAAAAAAGGCCACGATCGCCAAGTCAAGCCACTATGCGTTCCCGCAAGCTGCAGGAGGTCAATCAAGCTCGTGAATTTGTATTCCTTGCTAGTCCTCAACGGGTCACCGCCGTCCAAATTTAGAGAACCACCACGAGGTCCCAACGAAGAGAAGTGGTTTCGGCATGAAACACTCCAGCATCTCAAAGACCTAGAAAGGCAATGGTCTGACATGAGCTATCGGCAGCTTTTCACAGGAGTCCACTCTGTTCTCTTAACACTCTCTTCATATGACTTACGGTCTGTTCCAAGCAGTAATCATCGCTTTGATCTTCTTCAACATATTCAAACAACTCTGCCCATACTTATCGATAGCTTCCAAGGCATGAAACAAAGACGGGCGCCAAGTGAGTCTCGGGAAGTTTTACTTTTGAATTGATACTTAAACAAGCTGTGCTTATAAAGCATTGCCTTTCAGTGTGGCTGAACTGAGTTGGGATGGTGATTTGTACGTGTCCATGTAACTAGCTGTCTCCATCCCTTCCACTGTCGACCATAACCCGGCTTTGCAGCCAACCATCAGTTCCCCTTATCGCAATCTATAAGACTAAAACAAGAAAACACTTGAGGGTTATGTTGAATTCCCTCTGTCCCGACTCCAACAGGGCCCCAGTTGAGAATGGGCCTTCTGTTGGTAAAGATGTAGGTAGTAGAACAGCTGCTGAGAATGGAGTCGGAACACAATGTACATAGATAGACTAAAGACGAAACCCAGTGATAAGGAAAAGCCCAGACAAAGGAAAGAAATACAGGATCATCAAGCGAGTTCGCAAGGACTGACGGAGCATCTGACTGACGTTAATGGATAATTCAAAACTTAGGGACGTGGTGCAAAAGAACTCAAGCGCTCAAGTATCTGACTGTATCAAAGGACAACCTGCATTAGCTGTGAAGCTGACGGCAGCCGTGAAGATATAGAAAGCTACACAAGACTTATTTCCTCCTGAAGCTTGCGCTGGCGACATTGGTTTCTATGTACCACAAGGTATTGAAAGAGCCTCAGAACTCAAATCCTCTCATTGGCCATCATTGGGAGTTTTCGTGGCCTTCCTCTTCTCTTTCTACCACACCTGTTAATGTGGTGTCTGTGCAACTTCAGCTGGTCAAATGTATGGCCACAGGGGCAGCCGTAAAGGCCGGGGCCAATGCAGCTGTTACTCTCGATGTGTTTGCAATGCTTATCTTTTCTTCTGTCCTGCCTGCCGCAGCGACAAACGTAAACGGAACCAAGATGAAACTCAGTCAGATGGCGTTTCAGAGATCTGCCGCCTTTGAAAGTTTTATTGCAGCCTTTCCTGCCGCAATGTAATGGACTCGAAGCCGCATGAGATGAGATAATATGAAAGCTGTTGCTTGTGAGACGAGTGAAGAAGAATCACGATAGTTGTTCTTACCAAAGAGAATCCACGTCCTCAAAAGCCTGCCCACAAAAGTCACAGGTGAGCCGCGCGTCTTTGGAGACAGGACTAGACGTGGATGATTGAGATGATCTCTTCTCATACCCACTAGAGGATGGCGTGTGGGACGTAGGAGCATTGCTACTCAGAGAGGTGTTGCACAAGCGAGGGATTAGGTTTGGCTGATGCCAGGGGACCGAATGAGGGTCATTGAGGGAATCCAGTTGTTTCTGAGGTTCAGGAGAGGCTTCTTGCATAGCGTTGAGAGTGGTGTGAGTTTCAGTGATGACTGTTAGTTGACTGTTCGACGTGTCTTGGTGTTGAGCAGCCAAGGAGTCAAGGTCTGCGTTGAGCGTTTCGCCGCACGGCCCGAGGTAACAATTGAAGTCAAACAAGCTGTCAAACTCATGGTTCTCGATACTAGGCAAGAGCCAGTGATCGATGTCCCATCCGAAGTTGAGTTGCCATTGCGCGTCGTCGATGTCGCTCGTCCAAGGTTCTAAGTGATGATCATCGTGGTCCTCCTGAATGGGATAAGCGCCAAGGCTGTGCTTGGCGCTGACCCTCAAACAGAATGGACCTCAGCTGCCAGAAGTAGTCAAGCCCTGTTGGACTGAGCAGTATAGAATTGCTGAGTGTCGAGCCAGAGGATTTCCCTCGGCGATGAAAGATGTGATGAGGGAGAAAAGTCCGGGGACTGGACAAATGGGCGAGACCTTGGTTGAAGTATGGCCAGCTCCGACCCCTCTTACGTGGCTAACACTCAGGGCCAATTCTGTGATTCGCTGAACCTGAGCGATACGTAGATCTTACGTGCGGCTGAAGCTGTTGAGGCTTACATGGGTGAAAGCAGTTGATCGGATAGTTGCATAAGGGCCATTTATCTCATTCGTCAGCTTCTGGGTACGAGTTTCTCCAGATGCATATACTGAAGGTTAGTCGATCACCCTCCCTTTACTTGAGCCTCATGAGCTCACCAATCAGAATTTTGGCCCTGGAATAGCCTTGACATATTCAACGAGTCTCCGAGGATGCTGCCAGGGCTTATTTAGTTCACGAATACGAAAATCGGCCCTGATGGAGTCGCAAATGGTTGGACCAATAGCGAAACTGGCCCTTATGTCTGCAACTCCAAGAAATACAAATGTGAGACAACAAAAATGAGCTACGGAGAAACATCCAATACGGAAAATGGCCCATATCGAAGCCAGAATGAAACGAAAATAGCTTTCAACAAACAAGGCACATTACATAGTCCCTAGATATATAAGACAGCGCCCATGACAGGACGGAACCTTTTCTTATGACTTCTAGTGTCACAATGACCATCTAGCTCCTTTACTGAGCCAAACTATCACTTCCTACTAGACCTGTCGTCCTTATTCCAACAGAGCCTTCAGAAATGACTTCGTCGCAGAGCAATGCCACTCCTACAAAGAAAGGAACCTGCCCAAGCACACCGCACGTCCCCAAGACCCATGGAAGTAGAGAACGAGGTGAGCCCCGTCCGACATGACAATGAAATATCAAGTCTAACATCGATCTGGACTACATTTCACCAATGTTTGAATGGCTGGGCCAGAGTGGCGAAGATGAACCGTGGAGGGGCTTCACGGCCGTTGCCACAGATCAACAGAGTCATGAATACTCAGCTCAGAGTCGTCCTCAGACTTGGAGTACACAAGCAGAAGCTGGGTCTCAAGAAGAGTCACACACAAAAGAAATGTGACAACAGAGGGATTGAGGGAATTGCAGGTCATCATAGAGCATCACTGAAATACTGGGCAAGGTCGGATGGCAAATACTTAGAATCAAATCCACTTTATTGCTATCCTTTTGACTAGAAAACCCAGACTGCCATTTATTTCGCAGCAGCGTAGATGATATTAAACAGGTTGCCCTATCAGTGAAACCCAGGCTCACTCATCTTCGGAAGAGAATAGGCTATAGATAGCTATAGATTTGTCTCAAACTGGAAGCCAGTGCATACACCTGCTCAAACCGCAGCTACACAGGCATAAGTGCCCTTCCACAGAGTTTTGCAATCGTCGCCAACTGCAGGATTCCACTGCGCAAACTGGGCCATGGTGATCTTGTAGTGATGCAAAACCTCCTTACATGTAGTCCCGGCACCGATGTAGTGGAACTTGACACAATTCTTGACCAAACCCTCCTGTATAGGTTCAGGCGTCGCCAGTCCATCGTCGACTGCTGGGTTGGGCTTGATGTCTCTCGTTGGAGATGAAGTGTAGCCTTTGACACGGACGCATGCGTTGGTCCCCGCCCACATGTTGGTACAGTCCTCTCCAACAGCAGGATTCCACTTGATGAAGTCGGCAAGGGATATCTTGTAATGATCCAGAACGCCTTGGCAGGTGGTGGTGGAATCAATGTAGTGGAATTTGTTGCAGGTTTCTACCATGCCTTCTTGAATAGGTTTCGGAGTTTGGATGCTGTTTCCACAACACTCATCTGTAGGAGAGGGCTTTTGAGGAACAGTAGGCCGTGCATAGGACTCCTCGTCTGAGTTGGGGATCGAAAATGAATTTACATCAGAAGAGGCATCGGGCATCTCATCGTATGATGGCTCAATAGCAGATGTAGGATTTGTCGTCTTGGATTCAACGCCAGCTTGTTCATCTTTGCCGGCAGCCCCTTTGACACAGTAACTACCAACTGGATCAAGCTCAGGACACTCGACACCGGGATTCAGCGCCTTGAACTCATCCAAACTCAAGTTCCAATCTTCGGCGAAGATCGCGCATGTCTGGCCAGGTAGAGGATTAGTTTCGTTCTCGCACTTGACAGCTTGGCGATAAGGCGTGGCAAGAGCGTAAGGTAGTTGGATGGAGAAGCTCGCGGCCAGGAGTGTGACGAGATACATGGTGTTAGCTTGGAAGATGAATGAGAAGGAAGATGAAAAAACGAGTGTACATCTTGGTTCTTAAAAACACGTTTACTGACCCGACTGGCCTTCTTATACTTTCCAACCCCCGCAGCAAAGAGTCATATTCTAAGTTTCACAATTAGTACTTATACTACAGGCATTGGCCATGCCTTGCAACAAAATGTCTAAATAGTGAGCAGTATTTGTTATTTGTAGTTGAGGCCTGTGGCTGAGAGCTTGCAATCAGCACAGAGAACTTAATTACGATCACGATGCAGAAGTTGACTTCAATCCCCGCAGCATCCACCCAAACTCGTCATGATGATGGACATGTACCTCAAGTCTTGCCACTCCGTGTCCGTTGGTGATCCAGACTCTCCTAGGTGATCATCGTGGTAGACCATAGGTCTTTTTTTTTTTTAAAGGTTATTGGTTCTAATGTTAACTTACGAAAGGGTTCAACCAACAGGATTCCGGAAGCCTATATGTCAGGCCAGAGTCCTTTCGGTCCCGGGCCGATGAGTATTTGCTAGGTTTGACCTGAGTAAGGGGACGGTAGACGTGGCACTGATGCCGAGTCAGCTTCTAGGCGTTGCAGTATTGAAGTCGATCTTACAAGCCCCCCTAGACGATGCCTATCGTTTCTGACCGAAATACCGAGTTCAACCCCCAATTATTTATCAAATTGAGATTCTGGCGATACGAGAAAATCTGACTGCCCATATCAGAAAGAGAGTTTGGCAACGTTGATTGGAAAGGCGACATTACCTGACATTCCTGCTGGTGGTCGCGTGATACCTCCGATGGGCTTGAATCCTCTTTCTTCCTCTTTGCTTGATCGTAGCTCAATCCGGTAAAAGTTCGCCCTTGACAGCCAGGAGTGCTGAATCGGTCGTCGGCTTCCAAATGTTTCCGTCTGATTGATCAACTGACATTTTCCCTTCCTAAGACTCCCGATGCTGATTGAGGTAAAGACTGGGTTTTTATGACTCTGAAGGACGCACTGACATAAACAGTAGGTATATTGTGGAGCCTGGCGCATATTGATCCCAATCTGGGAAAAACTGTCACCTTGCGGGATTCGTTATGACGCCGACGGGATTTCTGGGCTGTCAGCATAACGGGTAAGCATGGCAAATAGGGCTTATCAATTCAAGGCGTCAGATATACATTGTCTGAGTATAAAAGATGATCAGGGTCGTAATTAATAGTGCAAATCAGTATTTATTTCACATTCAGAAACATCATATTTATTATCATATAACAAACATCAGGAATATCTTCCAGAAGCAATGTCTGAATACGGCTCTTCCCAATTTCTCTCCCGCGGACTGAAGCTCTTCGCCATCTTCTCCATGTTCACCGGAACAGTCGATGTAATTGCTGGCCATAAACTCGTTATACCCGAATCTGAGCGAGCTCTCCTCCCGACCCCAACCCTCGCCTTCGTGGACAACCAGCTTCGCTTCTTGGGAGCAATCTGGAGTGGATATGGAATGATTCTCTGGTGGGCTAGTAGCAATCTCCAGACGAGAAAAGTGCCCCTTTCTTTACTCGGAACTGCCATGTTCTTGGCTGGTATTGGTCGCTTGACTTCAGGGCTGAGTCTGGGCTGGACTCCATCGTGGCTCAAGATTGCCGCTGCTGTGGAGCTCGTCGTCCCTCCTTTGATCTACTTTTTTGGATTCTAAACGTGCGAAAAGAGTCCTTATGGAGACGTGAGCCTTCATGTTTATGCAAGATCAATCGTCCATTCTTGCTTCCCTAGCAAGGACTGGGAGTGGTCTGAGTCCATGTCTAGGTATGGGACAATTGAGGAGTGAGAAACAGATATTCATTTTGCACTTTCAACACGATTGACATGGCTGTTGCTGTTATATGGCTACGATAATTACTTGAGAATGGTCAGTACGGCAACGAACTCCATCTCAGCTTAAACAGAAACTTGTATATTAAAGCATAAAATAACTACTTTGTCTCAACTTTCCCTTAACATAGGTATCATTTGAATGGTTCCGAACTGTACACGTCAGATAGCACTGCGAATCCATTGATCTTATTGCTCAGAATTGGCGAGATGCTACTGTTGGAAAACTTAAATATATAAGAATACAATATAGATAAATGAAACGTTGGATAACGTCTTTGTAAAATGGTAAGCAGTTATGTACAAAAGTCATCTTCCTGATCTCCGAAAGGCATAATAGGTAGGTAACAGAAAGCTAGTAGCGAGTATTTCTTCCAGCTTATTTGAGAGGACTGCTCTTGCGGTAGTCACAATCTGCCCTGTCAAAGGGGCTTCCACAGCCAGTTTCGTCATCGTGCTCAACAAACACAGCAGGCAAGTTGAAGAAGCATCGGGGGATCTCTCCCTGAACAAGGTTGCTAGTGTCAACCTCGTCGCTATCGCCCTTGTTCAAAGCACAGTCAATCAAAGCCTTGTAGTAAGGCTCGCGATCACCCAGACCGAAGGAAGCCATCTTCTCGTAGATATCAGCACCGACCTCGGTCCACTCTCCCTCGCGATTAGGGTTGGGATCGTTTCGCATGATGTACCAGCAGTACTCCTCGCCATCACGGAGAGGCAGCCACTGTCGACCAGTGGAAAAGCCGCAATCCTCACGGGAATCTTTGCCACCGAGCTTATCAGCGACAAGATAAAGCTTAGAAGCCTTCATCACGTCGTTGGCGACCTTCTTCTGGATGTTGTTGGTGATGGAACCCAGGGTGACGCGCACGGTCTCAACGTCATCATCGAGAAGGAACCAGCCGCCGTTGAAGAACTTGGCAATCTTGGTCTCGTATGTATCCCACTTAGGAGCGGGGAGGGAGTTATACTCGTCGTCGTTTCTGCCGCCTCCGGTAGCGATTCGGAGGGTGTCCTCGAGCTTGACTGAGGCGGACTTGAAAAGGTCGGCAAGGCCGTCTGATATAGTAGCGGCACCATCATCCTCATCGTCGCCCAAGGAGAGACCGGACATGATACCTGCCAGGATACCCATACCGGCAGAAATACCGGAGCCCTATAGAGATTGTCAGCAAAGGAAAGATCGGGACCGGAGACAAAGCTACATACCACTCCAGGAACAAGACCACCAAGGGCATTCCCCATAGTTGCAGCGGCCGAAAGCCAGCCCTTCATATTATCTCCTCCGTTCTCGTTTCCGCTAAAGTCCTTGAGCATCTGCCCGATCTTGAGGCCATTGACGAGAGTCTCAGTGGTCAACTGGCGGTGCAACTCGGCAAACTTGCCATGCATGCCCTTGACGGCCTGAAAGGTCCAGTACGAGTTCTTGCCCACAAATGTCTTGCCGTATTTATCAAACTGCTCTTCGCAGCCGATGCCGCCCATGGGGTTGCAGCTGGTTCCGATGAGAGCGCAGCCGCTTGCACCAGACTTGCCATCAGTACCGCCCATCACCTGATCCTCAAGATTCTTGAGCCAGTTGTTCTGGTGCTCTACAAAAAATAAGGATTAGTATTCTCTTTCACGTCGTTTGGTGAGAGCAAGCTACTTGCCCCAGTGGCTCTTGATGAATAGTTCAAGGGATACACCAGCAGCCGTGTCTTCCCAAAGCTTGTCGACGCCCTCGACGGTCTTCAGGTCCCATCCCTTGCAGAACTTTTGCTTGTCGTTGAAGATGTCGTTCGCATCGTCCCGCTTGGAGAACAAGGGTGAAGCTTCTGCCGCGGCGGCAAGGGCCAAAAGAGCGGTGGCGGTCTTCATTGTGAAGATGTCCCGTGAGAGATGTATCGAATTGTGAGGAGGTATAAAGAACTGAGCCGATGAAGACTTGTCTCTCAAGCTTTTCACTGCGCAAGAGAGGGCATATATATATCCTACATATTTCATGGTCCAGCCTTTCCGGTACCATGTCAGGCTTGGCAGCTGACATGAACCTTTGGCGAGATGAGGCTTGGCATCACAACACCATTGGAGTTCTTGTGTATACTATGGAGACCTGTGATGCATTGAAGATTACCAAGGATTCCTGGCCCAAGCTTACAGCCACTGTGATGATTCGATTGATCCCGGCGTGTAAGGCTATAAGGCGGCTGTTGAGGTGGGGGACTTTTATGGGGATGGCGTGGCTATCACAATTAACGAGCCAGGGACCAGGCCAGGATTTGAATCCATAACCAGGTACATGCTCTCAGAATTTGAGGACTTCCTGTTTCTGACAGGAGCTACTCTACTGAGGTGTAGTAAGCATTCAGTATAAGGAGAAATAGAGTCGTAACTAGATATGCCTTCGCAACTGAGACCCGCGGCTCGAGGGAGAGACGCCTGATACCGCTTCGCTATAACTTAGTTAAAGTTGGGAATAAGCATAAATAGCCATAGCTACTGTGTAATAGGTGACGGCGACTAAGTATAACCTGCCGTAATTACGGAGTAGCAGCCCCCAACTCGTTCAGGAGTAGTCGGCGCAACTGATATTCCCGTACATCCGTTCCGCGCGCTTTATAAATGGGTCCTTGGAGAAGACGGGTTGCATCCTACAAGGCTGAGTTAGTGATTAAAAAGTGCCGCATAGCAAGGATTATTAGCATGCCGGTAGGACGTGAAACAATCCTCATCAACCGGTTCCTCCATTGTTATTTCCATCGCTACAGAGTCACGCTGGAGCACAAGATTGGGCGCTTCCCCGGATTATGACTCGCCAACTCGCCAATGATGCCTGGTCATGGTGGGGTCCGGCAGATGTATGTCAGACGGAACCCCCTGGGATTTCCATAAAAGTCCGACCTTCTGACGTCCAAGGTAGCAGTGAGTCTTACGCCAAGCCAATCCTTCACCCTTCAATTTATTAATAATATAACAAACTGCATGAGATTGTTAATAGAAACCACCTGCATGCTCAGCCTCACTTGATGCAAGGTTGATCTTTGCCTTTGCATCGATTGTAAGTTGTCAAGATTCTGGATACATCTATTCTAGCCTAATAATAGGGATAACTGAGTAGAAAAGTCTCACGCTGATTTAATAGGCTTGAGAAAGTTGGGTAAGCTTGTCTATCAATGACCCGATTCCAGACTTTCCTAGTTCGGGTTGGGCCAAAGAGAACCACCATTGTTTCCGTACTGACACTGCCGGTGATCACTACCTTGGCAACCACTGTCACAACCCAGATTGCCCTGATTGACACCATTGTTGTTACCGATCTGATTGACGTTGGCATACGCATAATTGTGGTCGTAATAAGAATCCGAAGCTCCTTGGCCTTGACCAGCGCTACAGTGCGTGTGAGTCTGATAGTTTGCGTATCCATTGTGATAAGACATCAAGGGCTGGTACCAAATAGAATGGCACCCAGACTGAACATTGTTCCACTGGCATGTTCGCGTATCACTCAGAGTATGCGTCTCACCCCAGGAGAATTCAAAAGACGCTTCAATGACTTCGCCGAACTTGGCGCTCAAACCAACAGTCCAGGTTTGAGAAACCGAGAAACCCACTGCAATAGCCTCAGTACACTGGTTGCAGTAGAAGCAGTTGCCAACTTGGTGCCAGGCCTGGTACCAGTAGCCCCAGTCATTCTGATCCCACCACCGCTGGGTCTCGCTCCTGCAGATTGGAGGGGCAGACTCTCTCTTCGTGAGGCCGTTGATGAATGCGGCAGACCCATCGTGGACGGTGTGGCCAGGCTTGTGCTCGACGCTCTTGACTTTGTTATTGTGACGGATATCTTTCAGTTGCTCGCGGGTGTATTTGTTGCGATGGACCTCGATGGTTCCGTCAGGATGAACGATCTCCGTAATGACATCGGAGGTTGGTCCGCGAATCTTGAGGCAGATGGGGTCCGTGGTGCCTTCGTGGCATTGGATGAATGTAGCGTTCTCTGGAGGCTCGGTGTTGTCCAACCTGATAGCAAGGGGCGTGGCATAGCCGACCGCCACAAAAGATAGAACAAGAGTACTGAGGATAAGCATGATTGTGGACTATAATGGATTGAAGCAAATGTTGTTTCTTGAGGATGGGCTTGAGAGTCTGACTCTTTATAAAGGCCAGTGTTCTCTATATATACTGATATCCAAGCGGTAAAAATGAAATCCATTAAAGCAATATCTCAGCAAGCTTTCAAGCTTATCGCGATACTATCAACACTTTACATCGCCTTTCATCCATAAGATGCCGCATACCCGTGAGATGCACATGGAAATCATATACAAAAGGTGCCGTGTATCCGTAAGATAGAGCCATCACAGATCTTCACAATTCAGCTTCAGCGACCGACGCCAAAGGGACAGCTCACAACAGGCCAAAGGATGCTCTACATTCCTCATTAGGGTGATTGAAAACCTGACAAAGCAAACTCTATTCAGCTGGGAGGTGTTCTAGAATCAATCGAATAAGCGGCCCGCTTACGGGTATTGGAGGCTGCATAATAAGCGGGCAATGCTTTCGTATTCAGCGAGGCTTGGCAGGGGTTCAGATAGGGTCATAGCTGTAGCTCTTAGTCTCTCGCTGCTAGAAATGGAAGGTGCTATTCGCAGAGGATGTCAGCTCAGGAATTAAACCAATGGCACCACTGTACTGACCTCTTCCAATGACAATATTATGGTTATATTCAATTTAGTCATGCTCCCTAAGCAGAACCTCTGATTGCCCAGCAAGCGGGGTGAATACCCTAGATTAGGCTCAGGTAGCTAATAAGACCCCAATTACACGTAGTTGCAACCTTTTCCA